TATTTTCGCTACTAATTTGACGATACATGGATGGTCGTTTATTCTTGTTCTGTGTTCATAAACGTGCCTATTAAATTATTTGCATATTTCACATCTTTATTTCTATTCCCTTCTTTAAGCTGAACTCAATATTCTTCTCAACTACACAAAACCTGGTTTATTTGTATTAATGTCTTTTTTCAAATATGGCAAATATAATGATAACATTATTGAAACTTATTATCTTTGCATTTTTGAAGAAACCCGAAACGGTTTCTTCACAACACTTATGTACCCGTAAAATGTTTGTGAATAATAATTATAAGTCTACTGCGAGGTTCCTTAATCAGCTTGCAACTGACAACTGAACGATTAAGTAGAGAAGTCTGGACTTAGAACTCTATTAAATTACTCCAAATGTTTGTGTAATAACAGACAATACAAACAAACATTGCTCTGAAAGACATAGGTAAGTCAGCTCATCTAAGAAAAATTAAGCTACATGAAAATGTCACTTTCAACGTGACTCACCATTTCCAAGTAGTGCTCTGAAATTGTGCCGCACTTATTGACTGTCTATATAGTGGCGTCAGAGGGTTACTATAGCAAATCACTGGGCTCAAGGAGCTTTTGCGCAGCAGACTTTCATGTTTAAAGACCATCTTGCGCAGCGCGCAGTGATTCCGTATCTATTGTCTGTTAAACGCTTTTTCAAGGACGCCTATAAATATAATATTGAATAAAGCCATTAATAATAATAATAATAATAAAAAACTCGGCTCTCCTGACCAGTTCACTTATTAAGGCTACCAGGGAGGTTTTATTAACACCGATTTCTAGCCATATAATCTCTGAGAATGAACATACAATAATCTAAAGAGTTATATTTGTAGAGGGCCAAAAACGTCAACACAGGAATACTTCGTCAAGATGACATGGCTCGGCCATACAGCCATGCGAACTTTCGGTCTTCACATCAAATATATTGTTCCACTTCCAGCTCATATGTGTTTCTTAAAGATCATTACATGCATTACTGACCACGATAGGACGAGTGAGTATTGACAATGATGTAAGTTCATACAAATTGGGCCATCACATCATGACAAATTCACCATGTTGGATTCGGTCTATCGTTGCAGAAGCATTGATAAGTGCATTTGAACTGGTCAAGCTCTGTATTCTAGAAAGCTCCCAAAATGAATTTCTCCCACCCATCAATGCTGGATGATCGTACTGTCCTTTATTCCTTCTCTCTAAACGATGATTAAAAACTGGGTGCTGATTCAAGGGGCTTGAAATGGGTAACTAGCTTGATTTTGGTGGAGTTTTGTTCTCCAGCTTAGAGAACATCATCCACTTGAGCTACGAATCTTCTCCACCATCTCGATAAGCTTGATGACTAAGCTGTAAGGACGTACCTCCGAAAGACATTCTGATGGAAGTGACAGACATGATTGATTAGTGGAGTTTTAAAAAAGTCAGCCTGCTACAGTCTGTCCACTGACACGCCCATTTTGCCTGTCACAAGCTAAAATCCTTATACCTTCCTGATTAAAGTCAAGTGCAATAATTCAACGTGATTGAAGTCATTTTCGTAACAAATAACGTCTCCGCAACGATAGACCACACTATAAGGCATTACGTAGTAAGTGTGTTCGATTTAAATAAAAAAGCTTATCTGTTCTACTTGATAAAGTCTATGTAAGTAATATTGAGCGTCCATAAAACTTCATTTACATAGAGATGAATATTTCTGAATTCTTGTGAGTTGCTCAATGTCTTATTTTTATTACCTTGAATATTTTACAATCTTATAATCTTTCATATTCTATGATTTGCCATTAGTCTTGCCATCTTTAAACCACATATAATTCAACCTGTTTTTTTACTTTTACCATTATTTATCTTCAAAGCAGTGTGACATACTAAATGGATGTTTAACTCATAATACAATTGCTTTAATTATCTGATTTACTTGTGACGTGGAACTAGTAGAGTCAATGTATTCCAACTATGGGCTTTGATTAAGGCAATATTCATACTTACCACAAACGTAAGAGAGTCTAAGATCACAAAAGGAGGGAGGGTGGCGTTACTGACTAGCAAACATGATGGTGAGGAAATAACTTCAATTCATCCATGTCTGTAGGCCAGAACTCCATATGATCCAGTGGAATGTCACGAACCAATGGTATTGATGCCGACTTATTACGCGAAATACCCTCACTAAAACACGTTTAGAACGCTGAATCGGTTTCACTTCCTACCGAGTAATCCAATTACAAGCAAACTAGACAATCTGCTAAGAACGAAGCCTGTCCAGGACTCTATGAAATCTACAAAAAAAGGGCTCGAACAGCCCCGACAAAAGATGAGGGACAGTTATTTGTGTATCAGAATATTGTTTTCAGCACTATATTGTATAACTACACATAATTCCATACTTTCAGCTTCTTTCTAAACCAACTCCATTTGACAGTTGTTTATTCACCCATACCTTGTTTACGTTTATTTCCTTTAACATGTTAGAGTGCTCTTGCCCAATAAATACCTTAATTAGAGAGAGAATTAAACTGAGTAGTCATAAGTTAACTATTCTTTCATGAACATTGTCTACCCCGCTTCTCATCCTTTCTTTTCGTGCACCATGTTTCCGCCCCCTTGATATATGCCACTGAAAAGAGTATGGAACGAGTGACTTCATCCTGCACCATCATCAAAGCCTCGGATATTCCACAGGGATATAAGGTTGCAGTCTCTAGAAGCCTCCAACTTCACATGGATTCATTCTCGACCATCAGCTGCTCGCCGCAACTCAACCTTCATAAAGCGCGCCAACTGCGATAGTGAGAACACGATTTTTACTAAAACCACCTACTTTCATATCTTATAAACTATCAACCCAGCTGAGTAATTTACTAGAATGGAAATTGTATCATTTGTAACAATTCTATCTTGCATGTGAACTGGCATGCCTCATGTAACAAACTGTTATTTGAGAATAAGTTATTATTATTATTATTATTCTGGATCAGGATTTTTTTAGTAGCTCATGAGTAGCACAACAAGGTTGCTAAGCTACTAGTTAAAGAGTCTAAGTCATTCTTTTTCATGGTGACCTAAGCATGGTGAGTTCAAACAAATGCCGAATCACCTCTATCCAAATAAATCTTCTGCCTTAGATGCAGTCCAACCCAAACTCAAGAGGCAATGTGCAGTGCTCCTTTTAGACTCCCTCATCACTGTGAAAGCTCTTTTTTGAAAAGGTAGACTACATCCCTACTCGAATGAGGCGTAGCCATACCTGTATAAGGAAGTAGATCACAAATATATTTTTCTGTTCTCCATGAACATGAAAGTCAAGACGGAGGTTATTTAGTAAATTTCGGCTAGGTAATTCTTAACATTTCGAAGCTTTTCAAGTCCTAACTTGGATTTGATGCAGGTAGATCGTGTATCGCCGATTAGTTGGCTACCCACAAGAAAGATGTCATATCAATCACTTATACAGTGCCACAAGGCTCGATTCATGGACCATTCCTTCAAATAGTGACTCTAGAACCCTCTACTTCGCGACTGAAAACGACAAAGATATCACAATCGAATTTCATAAACTTCATACCATGAAGTTTAAACGTGTTTAAACAGAGCGCAATCACCTTTGTTTACAATCACATCTAGAAGCTGTTTTCTTGGAACATGTTCAAATAAAAACATAAAATATCTGACGTCAAAATTCATGAAAATTTTTGTTGGCTAGGATCAACTGGTTACAAAACGTCTAACAGAAGACCGTATCGCTTAGATTCTCTTCCCAATGAAGATACCACAGGTATTCGGAGTTTGACAACGCTTTAACCAGTTACACCTCTAATATGAATTGTACCTACCGAGTGAAATCAAAAGACAGAAGAGAGGAGGTTCGAAGATATATTTGATAGGCTATCAATATATCGAGGATCGTCTGATCTAATCTGGCTAGCGATTGCAGGGGCTGTTCCTATTCGTGATCTGGTGCGGATGCATGACCGAGCCCCTTCAGCTAGGTGAGTCCATTAAAACTAATGTGGTCAGCATTCAATGTCGAAAACTTACAGAGCTATTTATTTTGTGGATTTATTTACCGCTACACTGATCTTTCCAAAGAGGAATTCACGTTCACTTCATCTCTGTAAGAAATAAGGGGAATACATTAGGTGCTAATGTTCGAAGCGCATTTCTAGCCAGTTTGACAGAAGAACTTTCCATATAATCTTCAACAGTTTTATCCGTCCACATTTAGAGTACGGAAACACAGTATTTCCCCCCTCACTCCAAAAGGATAAGGACACCCTGGAGCGTATCCAACGGCGAGCCACGAAATCAGTTCAAGGACTCAAATTTAAACCTTGTGAAGAGCGCCTCCATTCACTTAACTTTTGCCCATTAGAGGTATTCTTAACACTTCTGGACATCCTCTCAAACACCTACTTAAGCTTAGTTCAAACACTAACCTAAGAGGTAACACCCAAAATCTGGGACACAATATAGCAGAACGGACTGTAGACACAACTTCTACTCCTTAAGAGTTGTCAAATGCTGGAATTCGCTGCCGGCCGAGCTAGTCTAAGCGACTTCCCAGGAGTCCTTCAAGAGGCAACTTGATCTATTCTTAAGGACTAAGGATAGTATCACACTATGATTTACTAGTTCCTTTACCTCTTTTATTGTTAACATACCTAGGTTCCTGCCTGGAGGATTTGGTGATCCCCTACTATTAGATACGGAAGCCTGTTAAGCGAAAGCTTCTTTTATTCAGTCCACAACCATTTGAACCATTTGAATAATTCTGCTGAAAAATTTGTCCTCCGTCTCCATTTCTAGAAAAAATATGACAAAAATCAAATTCTTCTGTGGCAAAAAAACGCAAAACTACTACCTGTATACAGGTTCGGGGAATAAATATATCGTTGTTTTACTTGACAAAAGTCAAGTTTAAAATCACCACTTTCATTTGCTTTAGTTTAACAGGAAATTTTGACTCTTCAAGGTCATCCTATGTTGTCATAATCATAACCGTTTGCTTGTAGTTGTCAACGAATATAGTTTTCTCCCTACGCCAAGGTTATATACGTGGAGTCTGAAACACCCCATTATTCTTACTTTCAAACAATTGGTCCAGCCGTATGGATATTGCTTCTCTCCTTGAATGGAAACTTAACTGTTTCGAACAATCTTTTAACACCGTATACAATCTTTCTAGGCGTTTTTCGAATAAGTATCTTACTTAATATTTTTTATTTAACTTCAGGGGAAATAAATGCACATGTGCTAAAATTGCGGTTCAAGTTGATAACAAAGAAACTGTCAATACCTATGATGTCGATTCTGATAGCGCGCTTATAAGGGAAGTAGAAGAAGCCCTTCAAAAAGCACACTTAACTCTTTCTCCACAGAAGATAAAAAAGGAGCCTATCTCCGTAGATAGGCCTAGCAAGAGTGTCCTGAAAATGTGTCATGGAAACACTTGTATAAAGAAGTCGAGATCTGATAGCAGCGGACCTATAACAAAGCAACGGAAATATATTCCTGCCCACTATAAAGCTCCTTACAAAACGGATTTGCACACACCAAACCGGTAATCACGTGATACGTAGTCTCACCTCAGCATTTAGTAAAAAGTTATTTACATTAGGACAGCCAATAGCATCATTTCCACCAACGATGGACAACAAAAATATGAGTGACAGAACCATAAAAAAAATCAATGAAACCAGTACTAAACAGGAAGATCACACAGAAGTGAATTTTTTCGAAGATATGTGGGTTCTTATATAAACCTAACTGTAACAGAAATTTATTATGCCATCCAGCTTCTACATGTGACTGCTACCAATATCAAACCCATCAGCAGGCTGCTTTAATCGAAAAATATAATAAAAGTGTTTCGTACTTGTGGCTCTCGATCTCACGTACCAGGCAATTATTAAGATCGGAAGATAGAAGTATTATAGTTCAGTTTTTTAAAAACGTGAGTATCCCAGTTGGACATGCCTATCATTTTTTATAACCTACATAACATTAAATTAAGTAGAATTGTGGGAAATGTCCAGGGTGCTCCTCGTGACGTGATGGTTATTCTAATTTAACTCCTTATGATTCCTCTTTTCAGGTTCCCACTTGGCTTGAGGGATTTGAATACTTTAAAGAGTATAGAAGTAATCTTTGTAAAGCAAAAATGTTTGCAACTATTTCAGCAAAGCTTTAACATTTCGAGTTTTAATAACCTTCAGAATATCTAGCGTTGTGCATGCGCAATATTAGTGCATCACATTTATGTAGTGTAATTGCGTTTAATACCTCCCAGAATAGATTTTTAGTTTATAAACTTACTGATTATCACTGTCATCACTACAGCATAAATTAATCATATGATTATCTAGCTGACAACGTTTAATTGACTATCCAAGTTACTGTGCTGTCAGGTCAGTGTTCTAACAAATTTACGCGTAAATGTACTGTGTCTGCTGGTATTATGATTCTCATGAAATTTACCTCTATAAGTGCTCGTATATTTAAGTTAGATCTACCCGTTATTAGATCAATTATTTTTCAGCTAATTTTCTCAAATCAGTTGTCTGACGAGTAGTTTGTTTCTCAAAGGTATGTAGATAGGTGTCTCATGCTTTAGCTACCCAAGCATTTGGTCGCAATTTAAACCGATTTCTGTGCCGAACCCGGCTTGATAGAAAGTTTAATTAACATTGGACTTTGATGTTCAAGGTCTGTTTTATTTACTCACACTCGTGGTTTAATCTCAACAATCTGGTAATTAATATACACAAGATGTACCTGATTTTGAAAAAAAAACAGGTTGATCACCCTTAGGCATATCTAATCCGGTTTTAGAAAATTGTCTACCTAATTAAATGAGACTGTCTTTTCCACCTATTTGATGGATATACGTATTAGAAAAATAATTTTAAAAGAAAATTGGTAATAGTGTAAGCTTTGAGTGGTGGAAAAACATGGATTTCTCAAATGAACTTATATACCCTGTGCAGCTGTATATTTTTTACTGATTATGGATTGATAGAAGCTAACAACATTTAGTGTGTAGTGATGGTTTAGTGATTTAGAACTTATCTTCCTGCCGTAAGTTCTCATGTCCGTATCCCACTTCACTTTAATTTGGACAAATGAGTAGTATTAATAGCCCTTAAATCAGAATGAATCGAAATATATTTGGTGAGTTGTTATTTTATTCTAAGTCGCTGGAATAACAATTTAGATTGTAAGTTTTGGCAAAAAATGTTCCGATTGGTCTAAGGATACTCCAATTTTTTAACATATAGTAGGCTTAAGGACACCTGCACCACTTTTTTACAATACAAACTGAGAGTTTTGAGAGAACATAAATTCTCGGGTTTATCACTTAAAGTTTATATCATTTTCGTCATAATAAAGTGTAATGGTTTACCGGCAATAAATGTGCAGTTATATTTTTTAGCTTCTACGTGAAAACCCAACGTAAATTATGTAATTGCCCACAGTTATTGCAATTTTAATTTATATTTATGATTTCGACAGTGTTGTATCAATGAATTTTCGGAACGTCAATGTTCTACACCTTGCTTTTTAATATTTTTCTCAGATCCCCATGGAATCCAAACTGTTTTCTAGTATGTGCTTTGCTATTCAAAAGTGTGACCTTGCCATCGCTTTGTTCGAAAAATTCACTAGTCTTGTGAGTTTCATTGGTGAGTATTATTTATCACAACTAAATAGATTAATTTCAGCTGTTAAAATTTTATTTTATTAAATTTTGAAGATGTGGTTGTATCACTTTCGTAAAAGATGTAAAACTACTTAATTTTAATTTCGTATACTTTATAAAACTTTTTGTGATCAGTTCGATAGACTGTTCTTTTCCTTACGGTACAACTGAGTAATATTCGTTTGGCCAATACGCGTACAATTAAGCTTTACAGGTTTCACACAAGTGAATCAGAACTTGCAAGCTCACTGAGGTTAATGCAACTGTGGTTGTTGATAAAATAATCATCTTATGCACACCGACCCCGAAAACGTAATATTATCTGCAATTTGGCTAGAATAGTTATATAACAGCATTTCATAAAGTTCCTAAGTCGTGTCACCGGTTCAAAAAGACGTAAGGGTAATAATGCAAATGAACTTCAAAAGGATCATTTTCTCTGGTTTACCGTTTTTACTTTTTCCGGAGAATCGGATGATTTTTTTACTGTTATATATTCTGTCCCTTTCATATACTCCATACGTTTCATTGTACTACTACATGAAATTGTAAGTTCATCTTAATGCTCGTAATTAGATACACAACGCTTCTATCCGTCACCCTTTACAATTTTCTTTATCTAATGTAAAGCGACTTTTACGTGAATTAAATTAATTTTAACAAGATGTAAACCGTTAGATGAATGTTTTTGAATTTACTTCTCTGTCCCAGTTGATTTAATGTAAGCTAGATCCCTCACTAGTTGTGTTCCAGTTAACCTTTCCAAAAAGAGTTATATTGTTATATATATATATATATATATATATATATATATATATATATATATATATATATATATATATATATATATAATATTTGCAAACCTTTGCGAATATAAAATTCAGCAGTCAGTGACTCTGCTCGTTCGAAATCACTTCACGGACTGGTGGATTTACACTCAGTTTTCCAGGGTCACCATTAATTTCAATATCATTCGAAAGTGGATGGTTACACTCACATCGTCGATAAAAATATCGGCTAATACCACAGGAATTCTGCATAAAACTAACAATAATAAAAGTTAGGTTTCTTTATTTCTCTTAGACAAAAAGCGACCTGAAATTGCTATATCCTGGTCACTCCAGTTAATAATAACAATAGACTGGTTGTCAAAATAATACAGCAGTTATGCGACACGCGGAGCTTTAGTAAGGAGTAAAAAATTATGTATTGTAGCGATAGGAAACGAGTAAACACATTTCACTAAAGTTGAATAACCATTACAGCAAAAGAGATTAACTGTCCTTACCACCAAACAATTGCCAAATACACACAAGAGTGTATTTAGGTACTTTATTCCACACCTCAATGGGGACGTATAGAATCTGCTTGCCACAGCAAAAAATATATTTCGGTGCCATTCTTTTCGTAAAAAACTTATAAATTAAAGTTCAAAACGCATGAGTCATCAACCAACAATATGAAACACATGTTTTATTATGATCATTAGTCTGATAACCGTATATGAGTTTTTTTAATGTAGTGATATCATATAAATTTTCCCACTTCAAGAGAAAAATGTCAAGAGATAACCAATCCAGTTTTTCAGGTCTTAATGTAATAAACTACCTCGGGTACCCATTTTTTGGATAATTAAAATAACCCATAGTGTCATTAAATAAGAAAAAGAGAATTCAGCGAAGAAAATTTTCTTTTCGACGAAATCATTTACTTAAGCTGTACATTCATATATATAGTTATATGGAAAATGTATGTCTATAGAAGGATAGAAAGGATTGCATCACAAAAAATGGATTCGATAATAAATAACAAATGAGGTTAACATACTAATCAAGGGGTAAGGAAGAACAACATTTATGGGTCAGATAATAGTCCAATTGACAGATATGAAGAAAAACGACAAAACAACAAAGATCATAATAATAAACTGAATGATAATCAAGAGAACTGGTAAAAGGTGATAATAATAAATGATTAGAGTTTAAAGTGCAAAATAGTAATTTAAAAATATAGATAATAATAAAAGTGCAAGAAACAAAACAAAAACACCTAGAAACATACCCGTTGAGGGAATTAGGGCCAAGGAAGGATGAGAGGTTGGACAAATCATTGCTGCACGCAAAGTTCAGGCTTTAGTTTGTGGATTGCCGATGCCTCTGCGGTGCATACAATTTTGATTCGAACCCCCTTCGATCCAGTCCCTTTGATTCTGTAAACTATCTTAAAGGAAGAGTCTTTTGGAGCGATATGTCCACAGTTGATTAAGTGCTCCTGTATCGAGCTCGTGTTTGTTTTTCGTTCCCCTTTCAAGAGCCAGGCCGGATAATGTTCCGAGATGCGTTTGGATAATGATCGCTTTGTTCGGCCTATGTAACATGCCCCACATGAGCAAGTAAATTTACAGATACACATTGAAGTGGCCCAAAGCGAAAGTTTGTCCTTAACACAACCCAGAATGGTAGGTCGGCTAGAGAAGATGATTCGAAGCTTGGCTGCGTGGAATGTTTTATTCAATGATTTCGAAATCCGTTTATTTAGGATTTCAGCAGCCGTATCTCCCTTAAATTCCATATTCATAGTTAGAGTTTTTTCTCTGCTGTCAGTGCTTTGTCATGAGGTCTAGGTACCATTTAAAAAGAATACCGGACGGTTTATTACAGAGATCGATACATAGAAAACCCACTTGGAATGGACAATACACGAACTTCCACAGTTGGGTCCCAGTAAGTAGAAAAGGAACCTAATTCATTCTTTATCCTCAAGGATCAGGCGAATTTGTTCCAACAGATGGAGAACTATTTTATCTTCGACAGACCCTCATCAAAAATGGTTATCCACCGAGATTCATCGATAGAAACTCGTTCTGACCAAACACTTTTTGTTACTAATAAGATAAAAGCTGTCCCAATACTGTCCTATCCATGTTTACTTCCTATATATGCTTTTCTCAAGATGTCAATCATTTTTCCGTTTTACACTAAGATCTAAAAAACTGAATTGGTTATCTCTTTCGTTGTGTTATTTTTGGAGTGACTAAGTAACCGAGAACGGTGGTCCATGTTATCACAAATAATGAACGTATCGCTGACATATCTCGTGTAGTACGCTGTTTATGGATTCACTGTTTCAGTCTCGTTTGTTCTAGTCTAGCCATGAATATATCGGCCAAGACAGGCCCTAGTAGTGGTCCCATGGTCTACATGTACTTACGAAGGACAGAGGGAAGGCTCTCTACAAGTTTTTCTGAACGTATTCCTAGGGACCTATGACTGAAAGGAATTACTCTTTACAAATGCAGTTGCCAGACATCACGATAGTGGAAACGACGTGAATGTAAAAGACACTTTCAAAATAATCAACAGATGGGAAACATACTTTACTCCGTTTTGCAGAGGCGATCGCTATCAAATGTCCCCGACCTGACCTATGTATACAGAAGGAAAGCTTGATTAGCCTTTCCCTGCCATGGTGATTGGATATTTGTCTAGTAGCTTTCGTCAGCTTTATTTTTTCAATCATGTACCCCACCTTATTATTTTTTCGTCTTCTAATATTCATCTCTTACATAATCTGATGGCTGTTCCCACATTTGTTTATTTTATCATGTTCAGCGATCACCCAATCAATTACTAGTTTTATTACCCTTACATAACCCCTTAACTATTATACTTCCCAACATATAAACACACATCGGCCTTAACTATGCTTATTCACACACTTTGTATCCCTGTTGTTATTATTACAATCTTGGTTATGTTTTGAACACTTGTCTGAACTTTACAAACTAAAGAATGCTAAACATTTGTTAATAATTATATTCATATCAGTAATTTTAGTTCTAGGCTGTATGCAGTTGATGAGAAACTGTGAAGCAGAATGAACCCATCTTATTCTGCAAACCTTGTTATTACTCTGTCAACGAATGCTTATTTATTTTCGCACGAATTCTAATATCTAGTTATCTTTTGATTACTAATTTGTATGTAGATGTACAGAAAGTCAGTCAAGATGAAATTAATTGGATTCAGTACGTTTTTTCAAGATTCAGCGTCATTTTAAAACTGTTGGAATTACTGATGACAAAGGTGAACCCTGATTCAAGCGACTTGTCAACAACGAATGTCCTTAATGATCTCACTCATAATGATCCCATAAGTGCCTGGTTTGCTTCAAAACACCCAGTTAAACTAGTTGCTCCTCCAAGTCCATATGAAGCGTTTCTGACTATAGGTAAAAAAATCACTGCTTTCACATCCGAATTGCGTTTCATATACCTATGATTCTATTTAAAGTAAGAAAAAGTTGGCAGGCGTTCCCTAGAAACTTGTATTATCAGGTTTGTAATGACTGTGTAATTTATACATGTAATCGATAATACAGTTGTAGAGCAGGAATTGTGAAGACACATTTGGCAACCCTCAGCTTTGATAGCTCCTATTTAGGAGAAATATAGGATCTATAGGGAAATCATATTTAACCTTATAAATTTGTAGCCAGCTGCGATCTCACAAGTACGAACGCTGTTACTACTTGACCTCTTTTTATAGCCTAAACATAGTCTATTCATATACTGTAATTGAAACTTACTTTCCATTAATATACGTGCTAGTGCGGAACCGAAATACTATACTAATTTCCGCAGCAACTGACGATTTAACAATGAACTGTTCCATCCTGTTTTAATACTGAGCAGTAAATAAGATCAGTTGATCGCAATATTTTAATATAAAACGGATACAGTAAATCCACTTATAATACGTTACGTTATATTTTCTAACGTCCAAATTGTAGTCTCATAAGTCCAATATAGACAGATACGTATTCTAATTGCTGATATTCCGTCAATTATCATGATGTATAATGTAAAATAGTAAGCGTCCAAATAAAAATTTTCGAAAACCAAAGACCCACTTACCCCGGATTAACGATGATACTCTGAATGCTGAGAGCTATACAAAGTGGATAAATGTGAACTATGTGGTTAAAACACTAATAGTACTCAAGAAACTTATCAGAGCATGACCAGACAAGGAAAGTTCAGTAGCCTTATTTGCTCAACTTTAATAAAAGAACAGAGTCCCAGTTTCTAGGACTAGTAACAATTCTTATGGTTTTGCTGATTCAAGTAAACGTTCGTCTTCTCAGATATATCTAATGTTTTTCATCACTTTTATAAACCGAAGGCAACTGTCCTAGCACTCCGGGAGCATCTTCCCGTTTATTAGCGTTAACGGCATGGCCTCAAATGTGTGTATTCAATGGCAGCGCGAAACAAGCATTATTATTTACAAACCTTTGGAGTGAGCTTGAATCTGTCCAAACAGAACTCGAACTTTTAAACACTTTTAAAGCAAATCTACCTCATTTGCTTGTGGATCATCTATTCACAAAAACGATGTAAGTCTGTGATCATTTGATGAGGAAATGTGTTCTCATGTTAGTTACATTTTTAACTTGGTTACTACTTAAACATTTCATAGCAAATAGTGTTATCGGTTTTTTGCTTTTCTATTTTTATGAATAATAATACTGGAATTTGAAGAGATACCGCTAGAAGGTTAATCTATCAGTCTTTTTTGCTGTTAATTAAGCGAATTGATTTTGTGATACAAATATGATTTTAAATATCCCCTTTTGGCAAAAACAGCATTTATAAACCAGATATTTTATGCATTACCTAGATCGTCAAATAACACCTTTTCGCCATTGAAATTAGTCAACTTTATGCATGTATGTTTCACTAACGAAGCCATGCTTTCCGTATACCTAATCTATTTATGTCTTGTCGAATTATATTAACAAATGTAGACAGTATTCCTGAAATTATAAGTATATTCATGACATCGTACACCAATGTGTTAATGTAACACTCATTTGTTTTACTGCTTTCCCATGCATCAGCCAATAATGCTTTAAAAGGATGACATCATATAGAAAAATTTCAAGTTTTATTTAACTAAATCACAAATATTCATCTAAAGTTCTCAATGCGTGTAAATAAAAAATTACATTAACTCATTTCTTATGAAGAAATTCATGTTCCTTTAGGTAACTGTACAAAAGCATGCTTCAAAATTTATTAAATAATTGTTTGTTCGTTCCTTCCCAAATCATATAAATTAACACAGTGTATTTTAACAAGAGATGAAATCAACTTCTCAAGTTTTCGCTGTACTATTTCTTCAAAACAGATTATTATTTGAAATAAAAATAAGGTTCTGAGATACGCTTATATTGCTAACAATTGCACTTTTTTCCGAAGCAGTTTGCATTAATTTCTTTTAATAATTAATTCGCAAATAACATCCACCTGAGTACTGCCGAAATGTCATTATTATTTTCGTTTCATCCCGGAGCATCGCATCTGAATAAGTCCATGTAACTTGAGTTAATATGCTGTTAAGCAATTTATATCACATTTGTCTATTGACAAATCTTTCTAACGTAAAATATTATCGACATATATCCCCGTTGTTTAAATATGCACGACTGTTACTTTTTAGGGATTTGTTGGGGACGTTAGATCCCCAAAACTCATATTTTGTAATTTTATCTTTGTGGAGCTTGTATGCAGATATATGCTTGGGCATTTCTTACCACCCACGCACATAGTCGATTGACGAACTAATCGATTAAATGTTTAAAAACTTCCATGGCAATATCGATTATATATATTTTGTATAAGTACGCTTGATGGACCTGGTATCTTCTGGTTGTCTGTAGAATACACTTTCTACATCTTACCAAGACTTCTGGGTCGAGTTAGCTGAGTCGGGGACAACGGACCAGTATAGCCTATCGAGTCTCTGAATTCTTGATTCTTCGTTCCGTTCCGAGTAAGATGAATCAGTAGTAGCATTCAAGTTTAACGAACATAACAGGATTGTAAAAAAATTACAACACTAATGAAAGCAATGGTTTACTGTCGCATGTGTACACTGTTAAATTAATTTTATATCCAAGAGTGCTTTGTGTTTTTCACAAAGCATATTTGTGTACAAATGGTTAATAAAGATTTTGTAATTTGTAGTCGTCTTAAATCATCACTAACCTCCTTTTTTACTATGAATTTAATCAAAGTAAGAAAAGTCAAATAGTATCATTATTAAAATAATGAACCTCCTTCTATTACTCTTTTTCCAGCAATCATGCGTCGGCTTTCCGTAATTTATACACACTCGTTTGCGGAAACAGTCCATTGATTTTGAAAAGCAACGTATAAATAACATTCTACACATCTCCATATCTTGTACATTTCATATATGCTATAGAAACAGATTGGCAAACATGTGCAAACTTTTTTTAGCTATTAAATGACGCATCATGTTATATTCATTGTTTTAAAATTGCAATAACATAGTCGAAAAATATTTTTTAAGTAAAAAGACAACTTTTAAATAATTTGTAGAAATTTATCAAAACTTACTATCAAACTACCTAGGTTACTTTTAATATACAATCTCAAAGCAGAAATTAATCATTTTTATTGACTTTATGTTTAAATTATTGTACATTATTATTTTACATTTGAATATACTGGTTAAGCAGAGGTTCTTGACATATTTTTAGTTTTCATTTGGATGCATTGTTTCAAATATCACTAGATAATACTAAATTTATAGAAATCAAATAATCAGACCATTGAATTCCTATAAAGACAACTTGCTTATATAAATTAAATTTTCGGAGATAAAAAAAGAGCTTTATCATAATAATTATGTAAATACCAGAATACTCTATTAAATAAAATCTTTGTCACCAGGATTATCATGATATTAAATTGGAAGAAGTTTGTAAAGAAAACCCATGTTTTTAGACATAAAGAAACTAGAAATAAAACAATATGGTTAGTTGGTTGTTTGAAACAATAAAAAAATATTCAGGAAAATTAACCTATTTGTCAATTCAATAATCTTTTTTAAAATATGAATATAAAATAAATGTTCATAGGGAAGTGATATTTCAAACTCATAAACTAGATTCTGTTTTCTGAAGTTTAATGTACAAAGAAATGTACTGGAATATCACGGAAATGTTAACTTACTGTGGGTAATAATTGCTATTTGAAACACGTGGACGAAAAATATTCTTTTAAAAAATTACCATCAGGTTCCACAGAAATGAGTTTATATTAGTGTTTCGAGAGAATAGTTATATGTAAGGCAAATCTTAAATCCGTATTCTATAATTTCTTGAGATGTATTTGAACAATAGTTTCGACTAATTGTAGAACCATAGGTTAGAAAGAATAATTTCCATTTTTAGAACTACTTTGCTGTTATATGTTGCGAATTTTGAAGTAATACATGTTTATACTGAATCTTGTAAAGAGCTGTAAACGGTTTTAAATGTACTGATCATTTACTTTGCTTGGTTTTCTTCTTGGATATAACCTTGTTGACATGAGAATATTTTCTTGAATCTTTTCGAGACATAGTTACTTGATTACGACATCCTTTCCCACCTTCCCAATGTGAAGATCGAGTTCCTGATAGCATCTTGTCACATCTTACACATGGTTTGTTAGTAGAAAATGGTTGTTCTTTAGAACAAAACCCACAAATCATACGAGTAGCCAGTTCCATTTCGTGTCCATCAACAGCAGAATTATCATGACAGACATCACATGGTTCCAGACGTCCACAACAAGGAAACCTTTTAGAAGTAAAACAAAATCAAGTGAATGCTGTTTTCAATAAGGCCATGTTTTTTGACGACTGTATACACTTTTATTCTCTCAAGACAAAATAATAAAGCTTGTGAACGTTATGTAAATTTTTATGTTGCTAGCATTCGTTTCAAACTTAAGCTGCCATGTCCTCTATATATAGCGTACTACTTTTCAAATGTTAAGCTGGTTATCAAGTCTAACTAACTAAACTTCTTTTCAATACTGCTTAGGTTTCTGATTTCAGACATACGGATGCTAATTGTTATCCTATGAATGCCACATCGGATACACTTTGGATGTATGAGAAATCGAAAGGTTTTTCACCCAATTAACTTTTCAAGCTGATTCCTAAATGTTTAATTACAAGTAATTCAAGGTGATTGATGCCTACATTGTTTGTTCAACAGTGTACCATCTGAAAACAAATTAAGAATGGAGAAAGGTCGACGATTGAAATTTTTTTAGCCCGAAGTTTGCATAGAAATCTAGGTTGTTGAAAACGCTTAACACTAGCAAACATTGACGGGATGCATGTTAGACTTACCTCAGCCATCGATAGCTTTTGCGATAGTGCTTACAGCTGCCATAAGCTGGTAAAGGTGATCCATCCTGGATGAGTGTATTTTGAGCCGAATTCATTGTACGTCGCATTCTTCGGGAAATTTGCGAAGACGAATCTTGGTTTGTGCCATCTATTTTCACACTCTTGGCTAACAATAATTTATGGGAATAAACAGTAGTACGGTGTTAGGAATAAACAATAACAAATAACAGTCAGTCAGCTACAACGTAGGACCAGGCACATATGTGCATCGGTCCAGGTTGCCATACCGCATCAGCACAACAAGATGAACACCGGATTCATAGCAGTGGTTAGGTCAAAGGTAGTAATATATAAGAGAAAGATTGCATATAGAGATATAGTACAAGAAGAAAGAATTGGTTCGTAGAAAGAAAGATAATGAAGCGATTTTAATCTCACAGTTTAAGGGAAGACAGAGAGTGTATACACCTACGCCATTGTGATCGATTCTGAGCCATGTCACCAAGAGTCTCCAACCATTGGTTACGATAGTCACGCGGACCCCAACCAAGTAGTCTGCATCTACCAACATGGCTCAGACTAGAAGTTAGTGACTTCAAGCACTGATGCCACGTTTTGGTTTGGCCGCCCCTAACTTTCTTCCAACCATTTCCAATACCGGATAGCATTGCACGTCGTGGTAATCGGTGTTCAGGCATACGTAACACGTGGCCCAACCATCTCAGTCGATGAAGATTCATAACCTCATCAACTGATTTACCATCATTTCCTAATACCGTGCGTCTAACCTCACTATTACTTACCCGGTGATCCCAGCAGATGAGAGCAATATTTCTGAGGCATCTGTGGTCAAATATGAGTAGCTTTCGAATATCTACTCTTAATGGCCATGTTTCGCTGCCATAAAGTAAGACAGAACGGACTGCCGCGCAGTATACTTGTGTCATTTACTTGACATTTCATAAGCTATTGCACTCTATAGAGCCATTGTGTCTCGGTCTCAAATATTTTGTAATGTGTTCGAAAATGCCAACATACACTCTTTTCTCTGTTATACTAATGTATGTGCTTTGGCACGTACATGTAAATTGATAAATGCAGTTGGAGGTACTGAGAAAAGAAGACCTGTTAATTTTTGTTTGTTTGAGAGAGCAGTTCCTTTCAAATAGCGTCGTCAGCCTTGCTGGCTGGTAAGAAACCTTCAATGTGACACTTATCCCGTGGTTAATTATTTTAGTGATTTTTCTGAACCTAACACTGAAAAAGAATAAAGTCTTCACAAGTGTAATTGCCAAACATCTCGACAGTAGACATGAAGTGAATGTAAGTGACGTATTGAAAATAATCAACACAAAAAAATGCAGCGTCTCTTCGGTTTGTCAAAATAACAGCAATAAAAAATCAAAACCTGATTTATGTATCCAGAGAGACAGCAATAAATTTATCACTAAATTGGTAAATATTTCTTGCCATTATCATTATTTTATCAGTGATTTTTTTATGTGGTAAGTGGCAAAACAACAGAATCCTTTCCAAAAACACTTATCAAAAGCGATAATAAGGTAGGGTATTACATTATGCGTGAACTCAATTAGTGAAGAAGTAATTTGTATGATTTATCTTGTCTTTGATTATTATTTACTGGTCAGAATAAGTGGAATATTTCAGCTTGCTAAAGGTTATGTTAACGCCAGATAACTTTTTAAAGTACCAGTCAGGTTAAATTACTTACACATGAAAATAAATTAGGGTTTAAATCATACATCAGTTTGAGTGATATACTCACTGGATATCCGTAGATTTCATGAAACAATAACTCCGATGTAGCTGGTTTTATTCGACTTTGTAATTTGTTGTATTCGCCTGAAATGTTTTTATGAACAGATGTCATGTCTTTGTCCGGACCCCACTAGCTTTTTCACAACGAAATAGTAATAACGACTTTATTCAATACTGCGAGTTTTCGTAAAGCCAACAATTTTCAGGACCAAATTACATGATACTTAGTAAGTTAAGATTTTACCACAGTGTCTATGGACCCTAAATAACAAAGTAAGCGGCCAGTGTTGTTTTTCTCAATAGTTCCCGAATTCCCTATAGTTTTAACACCGCAATCATGAGACAGTTTCGGTCATTACAGTCCAGGTAGCATACAGTCTTTTCACTTTTTACTTTATATAGTGAGTGAAAAACAAGTTGTAAGATACAAAATAGACGGTACTGAAATTCGATAGGTTTCATCAGCATGGACGTGAATGATTTTCAAAGGCTTTGATCTCAATAAGCTACGGTAACTATCAATTTCAGACTGATCCTTATGACAATAGGTCTAGCTTTCATGATACTTTATGCACAAGTGAACAGTCAAATGAAGGACTTTCTCTAATTGATGATACATATTATGTCTTACGAGTTTATAACTTCGATAAAAGATCAGTGTATCTATCAAATTTTATAAAACGTAACGAAATATTATCTCATCTTGGATGACTTTACAAATAAGTCTGATATGGACGAAGTATCAGTTGATTAAATACCTTGACAACTTTCGAAGTTTTCAGCAAATATCACAACACATGAAACTGATGAAACGACTGCTTTTCTCTTTTCTGAAAACTGTTAGCATTATGAGAAGCCAGGATCTCTAAACTCTACAGAAAACAAATGAAATCTTAATCACCATTCATTTACAGTTTTCAACTTTAACTACCAAAATATTATCTATAACTTATCCCCCATTCCTGTCCCTTTTTATTACGAGATCGAGGAACGCATGTTTTATTTAAGCGAATTTGTTCTAGGATTATCTGAAAATGGAATAAGAGGAAGTATTAAAAACCCAAAAAACTGTTTAAAAACAAAATTACATAGCGTATAAACACTAATCAATAGCACAAAATATAATTTTCGAATATTTTTCACCTTGCTATATAATATATTAAGCGGTACTTACAATTTGAAGGTTGTTTTAATAATTCCAACTGAAATTTGCTAAACTCTAATCCAGTCAAAGAGTGACAATTGAAGCAACGTCGTGTAAGAGGACAGTCAAAATCAAGTCCCTGTTAGATGAACAAAGAACAGTTTAAGTATATAAGAGATTTATTTTGGGGGAAACATGAGACTCAGTGCACCATTAACTGACACTATTTACTCAATAAGAAGACAAACTTAACACGTTCCAACGAAGATCTATGTTACACAAGAGCACTTCATACTCATGTAGAGCTTAAAAACATATATCAAATCAACAATAAAGAAATATATCAGTGGACAACCACCGAATCGATAGTGAAAATATTGAACTAATTAGAAGTGGCTTCTTCAAATACAAAGGAAGGT